CTCAAAAATAGAATAAAAAGTCTTACCTTTGTGGCAGGTTTTTCAACTGCTGTTCCTGATGAATAGGCAACCCTTTTACAAGCATCCATGTAGGCAGTGTCTCTCATCAACCTGAGGGAAAATCACGGTACATGTACATACATGCGCCTCAGTGCCTTAATTACATGGACATATACACATACATACATAAAAAAAAAGGCCCGCGCCCTGCAAATTCTGCTTCTGAAACCAGGGACGGTATGTCAGAACTTTTTTGGGGGGGTTCAATATTTTGCGCTGCCAAAAAACTTTCCTTAACCCTAACAGTCCCAAATCCTCCAATTTCAATATAATTTTACATACCCCCCTAGGGAGTTAGGGTTAATCTATGTAAAAATGTCCACAGTCAACGACTCTTAAGAATTATGAATAATTTACACCACTATGCACAACACTACAGCAGTCAGGTAATCACGACGGCAAAATTGGCCAACAATGTCAGTGTATCACGTGGTTAGCATCCATGATGTTTCTAGACGGGCGGGCAATAAACCACGTACCGCAGCAGGAAATTTTGTGTAAGCACTCTTGTTTCAAGTACGAGCAAAACAACCTCAAATTAAACTTATGAATATACAGTGTAGAAAATACACACACAGACACATGAGTCTAAGGTCTGTGAATTAACTTGCAGAAATATTCTTGCAACATTGAATTATTGATGCTTTTTTGATGTGCAGTTGTAAGGTTGTGTGCATGTACGGCCGGTGCAGTGAAATGAAGCTACATGTACAGTATTTGTATGAACTGGTTGCCACATTTCCATCAGGCATTCGTTTGCATGGGCGCGGCAAGGCAGAAACCAGTGCAGCATTGCTTCAGTGCATTGAGCTTTGCACGTTTTCACCACTGCAACAGCGAAACATGAAGCAAACTCGTGAAAATAACAAAAGTTTCTTTTTAAAAGTTGCAAACGTGAGGAAACATATAAATAAAAGCATTTTAACATCAAAAAATGTTGTTCAGAGGTGATTTGTAAAGACAGAAAAGACAACAGGATTTATTTTAAATTTTTCTTTGAATTTTTTAAACTTTATTTTCCTAACTTGCCGATAAAAATGCAAGGGTCAGGCTAAAAAATTAGGGTTGATCAGGAAACAGGAAGCAGAAGTATTTGGGGGAAGGGCCTAATACTGACCAGGTCAAGTGTTGGCCGTTATTCTTTAGCAAGTAAGATTTTCGTTAACTCTGTGGAGTCATCATCAACAGCCCTAATTACACTACGTTTCTTTTTTCAAGCATATTTTCAAAGTTTGGTAAAAGTGTGCAGACAGTTTACGAGCCAAGGGGAAATTTTTGGTATAGACCGATCTGGTGACAAGAATCAGGAGCCCACGTGCGTGAACACCCAGATGCACACTGAATGCCTCCTCATTAACCAATGGGAGTGCACTGCTAACCAAAATCACCTGCTTGTCAAGCCTAGGAATGCATGCTTGAGTGACGGAGACACCGCAGTAATGGCAGCAAGTAATTGATAAAATACAGGTAATACTCCAACCTTGTGACCCAGGTTCGAATCCCACCTAAGTCAACATGAAGAGTGGAGTAAGGAGTCAAAAACATGCATAGATGTGAACAAAACCTCATGAAATTGGACCAACATTGGTGCTGTTAATAAAATGAAAATCTTACCTTTTTTGAAGTCCAAGAACTCTTGTTCAAAGTGCAGTGGGCATCTCTTCAGACATCTATGAAGGCAGATTCTCTTTGATTCCCCTTGAAGGGCAATCATCAGACCACGAACCAGTTCCTTATTTTCATTAAGGCTGTGCCAATATCAGAAAAAGTAACAATATTCAATATCATCACCAGCTGTATTTAAAAAATCTTGAGTTCTTTCTATTACCACAAAGCGAGAGGTCCGTCTCCATGGTTACTATGCTCGTACACAAAGAATGGCACTAAATAGGAGTTGGAGAGACAGATTCAGGAATGAGTTACTCTGCCTAAGATCTTCATAACCATGGTAACCAACATATCAGCTTCTTGAAGTAGTCAGACACTAACCTACATGTACATGAGCCAGGACACTGAACTTGCTTTCACAGCTGATACTACATACAGGACACTCATGGCAGATGA